CAAATAGTTGCTGGGGATCTGGGGGAGAAGCTCACTAATTCCGTGAAAGAAGAAAGGAAGCGGTTTGAAGCAGAGCCCAGCTGATTTGGGGAAGGGAGAGAGGGGAAAGGGGGAAGGATGGATGAGGGGAAGGTGCTGATAACCTGGAATGAATCTGGATCCCCTGGGCTTTAGGGAAGGAATTGATAATCTGGAATGAACCTGGATCCCCTGGGCTTCAGGGAAGGAATTGATAACCTGGAATGAATCTGGATCCCCTGGGCTTCAGAGAAGGGATTGATAACCTGGAATGAACCTGGATCCCCTGGGCTTTAGGAAATGAATTGATAACCTGGAGGAAACCTGGATCCCCTGGGCTTTAGGGAAGGGTGAGAGCCCTGCTGAGCCCATGGGGAGCAGGGCCAGGGGCAGAGATCCCCCTCCTGATGTGCTGCTCAGGGTGGGAGCGCTCCCCACGCTGCTCTGGGTTTGGCTGGAGATGTTTGCCACAATTTCCATAAAGATTAAAGACCTCTCCCGCATTTGTTCACATTCAGAACAAGCTCAGAATGTGCCTCTGGGTGCGAGGTGCTGCTGAAAGCAGCACTTTGAATGCATCCATCTCTGGAACATCCTGACTCAAACAGCTTATTAAAAGCCTTCCCCAGACAGATCAGGCTAATCAGAGCACCAGCCTGTGTTGTTTGCTGCATTCCAAGTGGTGATCCTGGCCACGAGCTCTTCTCCACACCTGCAGGTCCTGCTGTCCCCCCAGCACAGGGGAAGAGCAGAAGGTTTTAAAACTGGGAAAAGTCTTCCTGTGGTCAGCCCTTCCCTGGCACCCCTGGAGCTGCATCCACACCAGTGCATCCCCTTGGAGAGGCACCTGGATCTCCTGAGAATGAAGTGGTAAAAGAACATAAATCTAGGCCAGAGTCTTTCCTCCTACAATCAAAGTCTTGTCATTGCCCTCCCAGCCTCCTGCTCCTGGAGGAGGTCAGAGGTACCAGAATTCCAGGCATGGATTTTACCTCCCTGCCTCATGCTGGACTAGGGGACACCTGGGGACCCCTCACTGCTGAAAGCATTTCGTGGGGGTGACAGGGACACCCCTGTCCTCAACAGATTTGGCTTCCCACATCAGCCTGAATAACCCTTTTCTCCCAGGCTGGGATTGATACCAGGATGGGGAAGAAAAAAAGGGTCAGTGTGGAAGAGCCAGGAGGCTGAGGATAAAGGAACACTTCAGACACGTGCTGTGCTGGAGGATCAGAGATCTGTACCAGCTGTGGGGCAGGATTTGAGTCCCCCTGATCCATAAGGATTTAGTAAACCCAGCACTTGGACAGGACAGTGATTGACATCAGCCAAATGTTTCAAAGCCTTCCTTGGGGTCATCTCTGGTTTGTCCTTGGCTTGGAGGACATCCATGAGGTGACCCTGCATGTCTGCCACCCCTCTGTTCCCAGGGCACTCAGGAAACTCCCATGGGACCAGCTCTGTGCATCTCTCAGTGCTCTGCTTTGCCACATCTTGAGAAAAGCAAACCAACCCTTTGTATTTGAGTTCCAAAAGTCCTTCAAGTATCCTTTGAAATATTTCAAGTATTTTGAAAGCCAAAAGGCCTTCCAAAACATTTTCAGGCTGGGTGAGCTGAGGGTGCTCAGCCTGGAGAAGAGAAGCTTCAGGGACACCTGATTGTGGCCTTCCAGGACCTGAAGGGAGCTGCAGGAAAGGTGGAGAGAGACTCTTTAGAAGGAATGGAGTCACAGGACACAAGGTCTTGAGCTGAAAGATTTAGATCAGATATTTAAGGAAAGAATTCCTCCCTGGGAGGGTGAGGAGCTGGGGCTGCCCCTGGATCCCTGGCAGTGCCCAAGGCCAGGCTGGACACCGGGGCTGGAGCAGCCTGGGACAGGGGAAGGTGTCCCTGCCATGGCTGGGGCGGGACAGGAGGTTTGTAAGAACCCTCCCAACCCAAACCAGTCTGGAATTCTGTTGGAGCAGCAGCTGGCAGTGGGAGATGGGCTCCTCCCCACCCTGCCCTCAGCAGAAGCTGCCCAGGCTGCTCTGCTGGGACTCTGCAGCCTCAGCACAGCCCACCTCCATTTGTCACTGTCACCCACAATCATCCTGTGCTCTGACACCGAGCCAGCCTCATGGAGAAATGAAGCCAAGGTTTATTTAGCAAGACTTAGGGGCACACTTCCAATTATAAGTTTGGAAACAAAAGTTCCAAGTCAAACAAACACAAAACTCAACCAGCCGGTGGGCAGTGAGGAAAATCCTTTCTGGCTGCTTAACCTCTCCTCCTCTGGGCTCCTCAGACAAGCCACAGCCACCAGACCTGCTGCTTTCCAAAACACCCTACAGCTGGGGGCTCCTTGAGCCAATTTGCAGCACCAGTGAGCAGAGCCTTGCCTGGATCCTGCTATCCATATTACTGCCTCTTTTTCCTCCAGCTGTCCCTTTTTCCTTATTTTTTTTTTTTTTTCCTTTTCTTCCCCTTCCCCCACAGAAACAAGCATTGGTGATTTTCTACTCCACACCAGGGCTGACCAGCTTTATTCCATTTAAGCTAGGACACATACTTGTTTCCCAAGTTCTTCCCACCTGCAGGATTTTAGCATCCACTTGTAAAGTTCCCTAATCCCAACAATAATCTGAAGTTTAGCTCAGTAACTGAGTACAGACACCACAGAGCACTGCCCTGCTCTGACCATTAAACATTACAATGAAACATTACAAGCAAACATCACCTGTGAAGCTGCTTTATGAGCTCCTCATCTCTCTAAGTGATCTCTGCTGTGGTCTGTGAGTTGTTGGTGGACACAGCTGAGCCAGGAACAAACTCTTTGGGGCGAGTTCTCCCTTCCCAGCTCTGGCAGGGGCTGCTGAGGGTCCAGTCCAGCTGTGCTGGGAGAGCTCTCCTTTTACTGGACTCCTGCCTGTGATGCCTTTTCCCCCCTCTCACATCAGCCAAGCAGAGGCTGGGTCCTGTTCACATCCTGCCTTTCCTTTCTGAGCCTCTTTGCCTTGATCTCTTGTCCTCAGCAAGGACCAGCAGCTCCTGACTGGCTGCTGTCACTCTGCAGGGTGGTGCTTTGGTCACGGCTCTGTGCTCTGCTCCTTGCATCCTTCCGTGCCTCACTTCTGCCCTAGGAAGCCTTAAAAACCTCCTGGAGTGCTCAGCTCCCCACAGACAATAGGCAGGGATTCTGCAGTCAGCAATTCCTCTCCAAACATTCCCATTTATCTCCTCTCAGATTTGCCAGTGAACACAACACCTAAGCCAGACTTCCAGCACCCAGCTGGTCCCTTCAGCTGTGAGCAAAGAATTCCTTCTGCACCTTCCTTCTGGATCTGTCTGCCCTGGCTGAGCAACGGGAGCCAGTGGGAAGAGACAGAGTGTCTCCAGAAGGTGTTAATGGCATTGAATCCCAGGATTATTGAGGCTGGAAAAGGCATCCAAGATTATTGAGTCTGAGCTGTGCCCAATCCCCACCCTGTCCCCAGCCCAGAGCCCTGAGTGCCACCTCCAGTCCTTCCTTGGACACCTCCAGGGATGGGCACTGCAAACCTCCCTGGGCATTTCCAAGGCCTGAGCTCCCTTTCCATGGGGAAATTCCTGCTGCTGTCCCCCCTGAGCCTCCCCTGGCCCAGCCTGAGGCCGTTCCCTCTCCTCCTGTCCCTGTTCCCTGGCAGCAGAGCCCGACCCCCCCGGCTGTCCCCTCCTGCCAGGGACTTGTGCAGAGCCAGAAGTTCCCCTGAGCTCCTTTGCTCCAGGCTGAGCCCCTTCCCAGCTCCCTCAGCCCTCAGGACTCATTCTCTGGACCCTTGTCACCCTAGGGGTGATGTCACAGCTGTCCCCTGATGCTGCCAGGCTCCCTCATTCCTCTTGTTTCTATCCTGGGGCAGAAGCACAAGTCCTGTCCAGAGCCAGCTCCAAGCCTCAGATATGCAGAAGCACCTTCCTCTTCCACACAATTCACCTCAAGGCTGTTCTCCACACCAAGGTTTTATGTCACAGACCCAAATTTACACACAGAATCACAGGGCTCCCTGGTTTTGGGGTGAAAATGGGAAAGCAAAGGAATCCTCAGTTCTCAGGGAAAGTGCTCTGCTCCCAGGCAGGGGAGGCTTCAGAGGACGCTGTCCCCTGGGCCTGTGTGCACAGGGTGAGCACACTGCACCAAAACCCTTCTGACAGCCACAAACCAGCCCTGCCTCAGCCGAGGGCCCTTTCCCTCCCAGCTGAGCCCACAGTTCCCACTGGCTTCCTTCAGAACCTTCCCGGCTGGCACAGGGCAGGAGATGGCACCAGAACCTCCCACGTGCAGCTCCTGAGTGGAGCAGGGCACATCTTTGTGCAGGAGAATCCCACATCCTGCCCCACAGTGACAGAGAATCTGCCACACCCCACTGAAGCAGGACAATTAGCCATCCATGGAGCACTCAATAAATCAGAACAATGTCTGCAGCCAAGAGAATGCAATCCCTGGGCCACCAGGGAGATCAAAGCAAAAATAATTCAATTTTTTTTTAATGAAAAGAAGCTGAAAGCAGCAACAGATGTGTTTTGTAGGCCCTAATTCCCAGGCCAGTGCTCTTGGAGACGTGTCTGAGGTGCCCTCTGGGTCACCCTCTGCACTGTCCCGGTGCATCCCTGCAGTTCACCTGCCTGAACGAGGCAGCCCCAACCCTTTGGAATTGTCTATCCTCAGCTGCCGTGTGCAGGGAGCCGGGAATGCCTTCCAGCAGATGTGTTCTGTAGGAAACACACAGCTCAACACCAGCTCCAGCTCCAACCTGCACTCCTACCTCAGCAGTTGTGAATTTTTAAAGTGCCTGGAGAGAAGAGCTCAGCAGAAAGCTGAAAGAATCATCAGCACCCGTCCCTGCACTCCCCTGGCTGCCTTCTAAAGCCATTTGCCATCCTGGTTTTAGCTTTACAAAGGCTGCTGTTGCACGGGGTGAGGTTTCTGGCACGGCCCAGAGGGGACAGAGAGAGCAGCACTTACCTGGGTTGCTCTTGGAGGTGCGCACCGGGGTGTAATGGTTTTTGGAAGAGGTTCTGACTGGGGTGTTCTCTTTGGGGGAGGTATCTATGGCCGAGATAGTCTCTCTTTCACAGTGTCCGATTGGGATTGGTCCCTGCTGCCTTAGGATGTCGGCCAGAGCCCTGGGGAGACAGAAAAACAAAAGGGGGGGGAAAAATGTATTTTCACACAGCTAAAATTCAGTATTTGTACTTGCACAGTCCGTGAATCCAGGAGCAGCTGGGTTTCTACCGTAAACAGAAAAAAAAAAAGCAAATTTATAATAATAAAATTTCAAAATATGGCTTAAAAGCTCTGTTTCTTTCTGTGTATCTGCTGCAAATATTTCCAGGCTTGCCTGGCTATTGTTTGGTATCTCATCTGCTCTCTGTAATTCACTTCAGCCCAGGGTTATGGTGCCTCTCCATCATTTCCTGCTCCTGGCACACAAAGCACTGCTGGCCCCAGCCCTGGCACCTCCCAAAGGTGACACCAAAACTGCCCTGCCCAAGCCAAACTCCTTCCAAACTGGCTCAGATCAGGAATGTGATCCCTACATCCTGAAATCCCTGGTTCTTCTGCACCAGCAGTGCTGGGAGTGGTTTTTAAAGGAGAACCACGAGCCAGAAGAATGGATTAACCAACTTCCAGGGGTTAATGTCAGCACAGCTCTGAGCCTACCTTGAGCTCTGTGCTCATCAGGGATTGCTTTAATGGCTGAATTCTCCCTGATATTCCCAGGAAAAAGCAATGCCACCCAGCTCAGCTGCAGCCAATGTTTTCCCCTTGGATACTCCATGATTTTTTCCTCTCTGTGGATATCATGGACACAGTGAAATAATTACTGTGTGAAGTGCTCTGATTTTCCTAGGGTAGCCCCAAGTTCACTCCTGAGCCTTAGGAAAAGCAGGGAAGGGGTGGTTTGTGTGGGCTGTAAGGGACAGTGGCACATGAAAGCTGATGGAGTTTGAGCAGCTCCTTTCTCCTGGCACAGGGAACATGTCTGGAGTCACCTCAGATCCCAGGGGAGGTGTCAGGAGATGTCCCCTCACTGCACATTAATGAGGGGGATGCTGGTGTTGCTCATATCCACTTGGCATCCCTTAAATGCCACATTTCTGGGCTTTCACATGAGAAATAGTTTGGGACCTGGGTCAGATACATTTTCCAAATCATTTCCTCTCCAGACTCCTGTCCCTGTACATAATGGATTGCAATACTAATGTACTCCACAGAAGGAACTCTTGGAGGATCTCAGAGGCTCCCAAGGAGGATCACATTGCTTCAGCAGCAGCCTGTACAGAATGAGGATATTTTTACCCTTTTTTTGATTATTTATTGGTTGTAGAGAGAGCAGACCTGGAGGCTGTACCCAGCCATGGGATATCTGGGTGTGCACACACACTGATCCTGAAGGGATTGCTGTTTGCAAGGACAGGAGAGCACAGACTGCGCTGAGCCAGGCCCAGGGGGAGGTGAAGATGGCCATGAGAGATGGGTGCTGAGCCTTGTGCCAGGCCAGGACTCCTTTGGTTTGCTCCTGGGGAAAGGAGGAACTGGTGTTTGGTGAGGAACTGGTGTTTGGTGAGGAACTGGCATTGAGGAACTGGTGTTTGGTGAGGAACTGGCATTGAGGAACTGGTGTTTGGTGAGGAACTGGTGTTTGCTGTTACCCCAAAGCTGCTGGATTCCTTCCCCCAGCCTGGCACAGAGCTGTGGGTGCCCCCAGCATGCCCAGCCATGTGTCCATAACTGGTCCCCACACCACAGGACACTTCTGACACTTTGGCTCCTTGCCCAAGGTCACGGAGAACAGGAGTGGCAGAACAGCTTGAGGCAGGTCCTGAGGCTCCTGCCCCTTGTGACAGCACAGGAGGAGAGGATTCATTCACCCCAGTAACCCTGGAGGCTTTTCCAGGCCAGAACCTGCCCCCTGCACCCAGCCCTGCTGCCCGGGGAGGATGGGGAGCCCAGTGAGCTCTGCCTGTTGGGCACCTCCCAGCACATCCAGCTGGAGACATCCCTTTTTCACAGGCTGGCAGACCTGAGCCCTTGGTGGGCATCTCCAAGGTGTATCAGGAATCAGAGGAGCATTTCATGGCATCTGCAGGGCAGAAACTCTGAGAGCCACGTTCCTATTGCACACATTTGCATCAGCACCGTTGTTTACTGGCCCACAGTGGCTTGGGCTCGCTCTGAACACTTGTCCCAGACACTGCGAGTGTCGAGAGTGCAATCACCCAGAGAACACTGAACAGGGTGGATAACTCCATTCATTCCAGATGTTTTCATGGAGGCAGCCAGGGAGGGGCTTAGAGAGGGCAGGGTGGGATGGGGCACACACAGGAGCTGGAGGAACTGGGGGTGTGGAAATGGGACAGAACAGAACGGTTCTGCCCCAAACTGAACGTGTTTAGCCTGACCAGAAGAGGCTAAAAGAGACCCTCCTCTGGCAAAGGGGATGAAAGGCTTGTGGTTTGACAGGAAAAATCACAGTGGGACAGAAAAACACTGGGATCCACAGGGGCTGAGGGGTCTCCACCCTTGGAGATCAAATTCAGCTTGAAAAAGCCATGAACAGTTTCCTCTACTGAAGTTTGTTTGTTTAAGCAGCAGGAGGGACCTCCACAGCTCCCTCCCAAGCTGATTTCTGCTCTGATGGAGTCTAGAACCACCTTTCACTGCAGGTCAGGCCTCTTCTCCCCTTCCTGCTGCCCTTCCTCCTGGGATTGTTACTCCCTGAGAGGGGCTGTGAGAACACCTTCCCTGCCTCCTGCACGGAGAGTTTACATCTCCTCACTAAAAACAACCAAGGTAATTCAAGTGAATACTCCCTGGAACAACCAAAGCTGGTGAGGAGAGTCTGAGTCCTCACAGACACTCCCCACCTGAGAGCTGAACCTGCTGCCCTCCACGAGGACAAAACCAGGACAACATTTCAGTCTCTGATCCTTGCCACAAACAACTCCACAGCTGAGAGCTGCACCTGGCAGAACAGTTTCAATCCTTTTTTGGTTTTCATCCTGAAGAGATGGTAGCAAGAGCCTCTCTCTGGGCTGGTTGCTGGTCACAACCTAACAAGGAAATGATTTTGGGTGCCAGACACCTGTAAGGGAGGAGACCTTTACTCCCAGACATAGTGAAGTGATCCCAGAAAAGTGATGCCTGCCCTGTCAGAGCGTGCATGAGATAAATTGGGCAGAAGTGTCCAAAGCAGCCCCGCCTGGTTTGAGTGCGTGCCTAAAGCCATGTGAGCTCAGCAATGCTGGAGGTGTCACCTTCTCATCCCCTAAATTCCCCAGTCTGAGTGTCCTGAGTGCTCATTCCTCACCCTCCTCGTGTCTCACAGAGGGAAGAAAAGACTGCTCAGAAGCAGCAGAACAAAACATTAGAGGTGGAGGAGAAAGCCCAACTTGGATGGAGCTGGATCGTTCCGTGCCAATTCAATCGCGGTGCTGTGTGGGATCCAGCTGATTTCCATAAAGCCCTGAGGTGCTGGAAGGTCAGACCCACTTGAAAGAGGAGGGATTTGGTTGGTGACAGTCCCTTGGGTCCAGCTGGCTCACTGCCCACTGCAAAGCTCCGGGAGAACAGACTCACTGGAATATTTGGGTCCTGTGTGTGCAGCCATTTGGGTACAATGAGTCCCACTGATGTCAGCAGCATCCTAATCACCTGCACAAGGATATGAGACACTCCAGAAACCTTCCTGTGACGACACATCTCTTATCTGAGGAACACAAACCTCCCTGGCTGGAGCGTGTCACCGTCCCTGCCGGAGATAAGGATTTGTGACACTTTTCCCTGGCGTCATCTCTGTGCCAGCGCTGAGGTTTCGCTCCAGAGCAGCCACAGGGCCAGCCAGGGCACTGCTCCAGGGAGCTGGACTGGCCTCTGGGAGGGAAACCATTCAAAAATGAATGTGTCCCGTGGCTGGGCAGCCCAGGCCGGGCTCCCAGGGATGGCTCCCGTGGCACTCTGGACAAATTGAGGACTTTGGGAAGAAAGCCAGTGGGAAGAACACTGGGGCTGCAAGGAAAGGAAGGGGCTGTGGCTGTTTTCAGAAGGAAAAATCAAGAGGATTTGGTGTAAATCCAAAGGAATCGAGGGGGTGGATGGAAACAGTGGGGCAGCAAGGCTGGGCATCAGCCTGGAAGGAGAAATGACAGACTTTGATCCCAAAATGTGGCTTTGGAGTCAGGGAGAAGGTGAAGCTGCAGGGCTGGGAGGGACCAGCTCACTGCAGCTCACCCTGCCCCTCTAACCCAGCCCCAGACCTGAATCTGCTCCCTGAATTTCCCATGAGGGAACAGTAGCTGGAGCACTGCTGTCCCCCCTCCCCAGCCTTTCTGGGAAAGTATTGTCCCATTTTCCCCTATCCACACATTCCCAACACTAATTACCAGTCTGAGTGTGGACACAGGTGTGCTGAAGACAAAGGGGAGCTTTGGTGACAGCTCCACCAGGCTGGCCTGAGGGAAGTGAGATTGGAGTGAGGGGGCTGTGGATGCTGGATGGGAGAGGAAGAGCTCCCTGTTTCCAGCAGTGCAGGGGCTACACGCTCAGAACTCCACTGATTTGCCTTCTGAAAATCCCCTCTCGTGCAGACCCTAAAAATGGGGTGCTAGGAAACAGAATTTCCTGTTCCAAGCACCTGTGAACTTGGGGAAGAATGGAAGGAGAATGACCAAATGTGTCTGGCAGAGCAGAGTGAAAGGAGCAGAGTGAAAGTGTCTGGCTGAGCTGGAGCTGCTAAAAGCAGAGTGGGGATGGAGCTGGTGGCAGAACTCCAATCACGCCAGCACAGCCAGGATTTCACTACAAGTTCTTCCAAAAAAGCCAGGTTAAAGACTCCCCTATGCTCTGTTACTAACTGGGGAAGAAAGAGGCAGTTATTCCGGGAGATGGATTTACCCAGCCTGGAGCCAGCTCACCTGGAAGGGACAGCTCTCTCCGAGGGACAGCGTTTCGGTCACCAGCCACTCTCACAGAGGGCGGCTGTGCATTATTCATGGCTTGGCTCCTGTCCCCACACCTGCTGTGTGCCTTGGGAAGCTCCAAACGCTTCCAAACTGCAGCTGGACAGCCCTGGGGAGCTCCCTCATTCCAGGTGCTGCCAGCCAGGTCCTGTGTGCCCAGGGCT